CATTGAATAATATTCCCTGGGGTCATCCTCACCTTCAATGAAGAATCATTGGTCTAGGAACTTTCATCAGGGATACTTACTTGTGTCCCTGATATTTACTTGTTAATTTATCACATCAAGAACTGCATGATAACAGGTTGTAAGGAACTAATGATAGTATTGTTTACTATAGTAACTTGGTTAACTTGGTAATCAGCAAATCTCTCCATTGTAATTAACTATTAATTATGGAGGTACACAGAGTGTGATTGTCCTGTTCCCAAACAATTTTCCACTTAATGATTTTAGCATCCACTGGTGAGTCTCCCTTGATACACTAGAGGATGTTAGAAAATGTTGATTTTCTAATCCTTCCCCTGCATATACCAGCTAAATTTTTCTGTATAGAAAAGCTTTCTTCTTTATTCTGTTTTCCCTTTCTCTTCCTTTTTCTCTTCTTTAAATATCATTGAGACATAGATTCTGTTTTAAATGAATTGTAGTTCTTTCTCATCAATATTTTGATGCTCATATTGTCCAAATTGGCCAACGGGAACCCATGTACACTAAATAAGGTCTCACTTGTTATGACTATCTAAACCACTTACATGGTTCAAATCAAAGTGTGTAAAAAGGTATACCTAGAGAAGTCTCGCTCCTGCTCCCTTTCCCCTTCCTCTGTAGGTAGCTACTTTGATTAGTTTCTTATTTATCTTTTTTGCATTTCTTATTAAAAACTAAATGAAGGAAATATAACTATATTTTATTTCATCATCTTTTATTACTGCAAAAGACATGTACAATGCAAAAATTTTTTTTCACATTGCCTTCTACTGAACAGAATACATGAAACTACATATAGATCTTCTTTGCTCTTTTTATGGCTGCATAGTACTCCACCATGTACGTGTACCTTAGTTGATGCAGTCAGTCGCTACGACTGGGCATTTAGGTTGTTTCCAATAGTTTATGACCACAGATAATGTCACAGTGAATAACATTGTGAGTATGCTGTTCTGAATTGTGGGATGTATATTCTCAGGGGAAATTTCTAGAAGAGATGTCATGAAGTCAAAGGATAAATGCATATGTACATGTGTTATTTACTGTCAAATTTTCTTCAATGGTGTTTGTATCATTTTGTCTCGCTACCAGTAATAAATAAGATAGTTTTCTTACAGTCTTGCCTGTATGATGTGTTGTAAGTTTTTGAATTTTTGCCAATTTGATTGGTAAGACATGGTAAGTTGCAGTAATTTTAATTTGCATTTCCCATATAATGAACAAAGTTAAGCATCTTTTTCCTATAATTAAGGGGTCTTTGTTTCACGTGACTCTAAAAACCTATTTCTTCTTAATTTTCTAGTTCTTACCCTTGATCAAGCTCCTGCTACTTAGTATGTAGGTTTTTGAAATAATCTTCTAGCTGGTTTCTTTGCCTACAGCCTTTCTCCTTTTGATGATCCTGAACACAGTTAACATAGTTACCAAGTTAATATTTACTAAAACAACTCTTTAGAATACTCTTTTTAAAAGAACCTTCAATTATTCCCTTTTAACCACAGTAGTTTCAAAACTAATTTTTAAAGTTGTTAGTCCAGAATTCAGGATATGATTTTCGACCACTCTCCAAACTTCTCTTTGCCAACTCCCTCATATTTATTTATTCCTTCTTCAAAACATACATTATTGTCCTAAAATCCATGACGGAATTTTTTTCCTCTAAACCTTTTTTCCTGCTATTGTTCAGGTCAAAAGCCCTTCTGCAGTACAGCCCTGCACTCTTATCTGTCTAAACTACAAGGCTTATATCAAGTCCCACTTTCTGGAAGTCTTCTTTGACCACTTCAGTGCCCAGGGGTTCCCTCCTTACTAAATTCGGTTGGTACAAGTCTTTGTCCCCGTATTTAGCATTTAACTTTATGGCGCCCTGTTTTTTGCAATTACTTAAAAGTTAAAAATCTGTGTATATATTTCCCCAAGACTAGGGTCTATAGGAGTTTTAGTGAGCAAATGCTAATGGATTTTCTTCTTACCTCTGAGCCAAGATAAGGGCACAGTGACCTCTATTTTGTTGACAAGATAATGAAATAAAGAGGGATTATACAATTAATAAAATCAATCATTGAGTCATTGGCCACGTAGATATGAGCCCCAAATCTCAGGTTATATTCAAGTGTCATACTACCACATTCCCTAAATTTAAGGGTGCCTAAAAAATTAAGTAAAAATGATTCTATGTATATATCTTCTCAATTACTTAACAAATATAATTTAGATGACTTAGATTTCTCTTAGTTAAGATTTCCATTCAAGATACTTATTGGAAAGACAAAGAATTCGGCATCAAATCCTCTTGGGACAAAATGGTGTTATATAAAATGCCATTTGTTTTCAGCCTGATAAAAGGCCCATACTCACATTTGACTGGAGAAAACATCATCTAAATCCTTATGTCTCCTAAGCCATGCATCTCTGCTCTGCATTTGGGCAACTCTCAAAGTCAGTTCAATAAACATTTACACATTATTGTGCATTTATTATATCATAGACAAGCTGTTAGTTCTTGTGGGAACAGAGTGTGTAAGTCACAGAGCTTGTCCTCAAATAGTTTAATGTCTAGGTAGTAGGATGTGTACATATCAAATATTAGTGTAAAAGGTATTATTATTGGCCTACAAACAAGGGAAAACAAGAAAAGGAAATTAATTCTACTGGAGAGATCAACAAAGGCTTCAGAAATAAGGTGATAACTGAGGTCAGTTACGGCCATCCAAAAATACACAAGGCCCAAATGTATACTTTATAAAGTATGAGAAATTTTAGTATTTAAAATAAGAAATTAGTAGCCTTTAAAATCTTCTAGTCACGTTTCCTGTAATCCTACTGTACTTTGTACCTATTTCTGCTCTGATAGGTTGTTTGGCAAAAGATTTGGCTCCAGGAGTGCCACTTGTGACATCCAGAGAGAGCCTTACAACAGGGTCACTGCTGTACCAGCTTTGAATTCCCAGTGCAGGCACATAGTAGACAACTAAAATTTCATAAAGGAGTAAACTAAGTATTTTGAAAGCACTTTGCGAAGTCAACTGAACTTTCTAATTTTTGCATATTGGTTATTTTGGATTTTAAGTCCCCACATGGCCTGTATGTGCTATGGAATTCATCTTCCACTGGCTACACTTCAGTCTCATCTTCAGCTGGGTCGGCTAAGGGAAGGATGAGCACAAAGCAGATCCCCAGTGATCGTGCTTGTGGCCGCTCCCACCTCCATGCCAAGATCCGCACTGATCCTGAATGGGTCCCCACGCATTCATACATCCCTTTAAACCTGAGAGTCCAAAATCATAGAAATCATAGGTTTGAAATTTGACAGGTGCACATGCAGTGTGTGCATGTGCATGTGCACACACACCCCTCTCCATGATGCACAGAGATGCCAGCAAGGACACACAACACCCAGTAGCAAAAGCACAAAGGGAGATGACAAAAATTAGCTGGGTTGTGAAACCTACTGGGCAAATGCGTTCTGAGGTGGGCAAAAAGGGAAATCAGTATAGTCAAAAACATTTATCCTTGCTCCCTGCAAGAACAATCACCTCTTATCACTTCACAAGAGACACTAGAATTTTCTTATCTTTTTAATTTTAGTACTTTTATTACTTATATTTAGGTCTAAATTTGCTTCTCAGAAAATTAGCATTTTACCCTTAACTCTTACTCTAAATGTTATCCCCTTCTGAAGTTCAACTTCATTATTATTTTTATTGTCCGGTAATATATGCCCCTTTTCATAGTGGAAGATAATGGGAGAATGGTATTCAAGTTCCTAGAAACCTCTATTTTATAGTTATAGATATTATAAAAATACATCAATTCCATTTAAGGCAGAGAGAATTGGTGACTGCCTTCAGGTAAATTAGAATTCATGTGTAATATTTAAGAATTAAGGAAACCCATTAGAGAAAGTCAATAAAAAGACTACTTTATCCTGGCACAGCCTGACCCCTTGCACATTCACAGGTGTTTCATGAGGCATTGCTTTCACTGGGCAGCTTATTAGAAACACAGATTCTTAGGCCTTACCTAGACCCATGAATCAGAATTTGCATTTTAACAAATTCCCTGTGGGAATTCGTGTGTGCAATAAAGTTTTAGAAGCATGAGTTAACCAATCACAGGACTTCATGGAGGTTCCATGAAGAGAAATTATTCCATCAATCTTTAATTTAGGTTGGGTTTTCTTTCAAAGATCCACATGCCCACATGCAAATTAGTTTCAATATCTTGCCTAAATTTACATCAAGATACATTCCTGAAATTTGCTGGCTTCCCTACTTTTCATTTTGCAACTGGTCCAATGGTGCTCTGTGGTACAGACTGCCCCTACAACCCTTCCCAGGGGAGAACCAGGTGTGCACGGGGAGAGAAGGGGAGCCAGGGATGTGAATTAGAAGACTGTGGGGAAGACTGACAAGTGCTTTTAATTGTGTGATGGGGATTTCAATTTACTGTCACCACATTGTTTTTGTCCTCAATGGATTGTCTTAGTCTTTAACTCATTTTTGCAAAGGAAAACCCTCAAACTCCTGACAGGCTTTTGTGTTTCATATACCAAGTGAGTGATTAGGCATATTTCTTTGCTTGATCTTATTTCTCTCCCACCATTGTTTATTTTCAAATTTGTGACCTTGAGAATTTAAGGAGAGGCTGAGTCCCAGGTACCGGGGAAACCTGGTTGCTGTAGGTATCCCCTGCCAACTGGCTAACAACCAGAGGAAAAGATGCCTGTCCTTTCCTAAACTTGAGTTTCATGAAGACAAGTGAGCTGTCCATTGCCTCAAAAGGGAGCATCTCTCACTGCCACCCTGTTTGCATGGGAATGATCCCACTCGATGGATATCGATGTGATACTGTTGACAACAACGGCAAGAGTCTCTGCTGAAGGAATGACAGGTGAGCGTGTGTGGAAAAGGACACTGCTATTTCAACTCTTTAACCAACAAAGGAAGGTGACATACCCAAGCTGCATCCCAAACATCCTTCTTCACAGGGCACACATTCATCATAGTCTGGGTCTTGGACTTCACCTATACCGTGAGAAGAGTGAAAAACAATTCATTTTGAGTGGAGACATATCAGTTGCTATGAAAGTATGGTGGCGTGTAGCATATTTTCAAGCAAGTCATAGAGCAGTTATGAAACCCAAAATCACCTTTAAGGATCTATGTGTCATTCTTGTTTCCTTCTCTGTTAATTTAAGCAATTAGATTACATTGATTGGCTACAAGTAGAACAGGGTGGGACCATATACCATGCAACTTGTATTGAAGTTAAGCTTGTAGCTTTTATTTATTAAAAAAGTAAGTTCTGGGAATATGGAATTGGGCATATAAATAAATAGGCTCTGTCTCTTCTTATCTGTTCTCCTAAACACTTTTAAAAAAAGTTTTAAATCCTATACTATATTAGTAAACATTAAGAAGAAAAAGGAATGTGTTTTAATTATTCTAGAAATACCTCGTAGCTCTCTTCAGCACCAGATAACGCATAACTCTTATAAAGAGCAGAGAAAGTTTGCAGTATTCTCACATGGAAGAGAACAATAATAATGTGTTGTTTTTAAATCTCCCTCTTCCTATGTAAGATAAGTAGGAAGTGGGCAATAACTATAATATTTGGTTCACAGAACATTTTAATATTTTTCAGGTAGTTTTAGGTCACCAAATCTCTTTGGCTCCTCACAACAAACATCTTGGTGCTATGCTCTCCCTTTTACAAATGAAGAAACCAAGCAAGGCATGGAGAAATCAGACTAATTTTGCTCAGAGTCTCATAACTAGTAATTAAGAAGGGGAAAATTGTTGGCCACAACTAACAGATCCTGATCTAATTTTCTCTCCACTACACCCTACCCACAAACCCTCCACTTAAGATCAATTTCCGTGTGATTAGCTACACTCATTATGTCTTTGGATTATGTCTGGGGAAACCCAGAGAGAAGGTGCATAGGGGAAGAGCGAGGGGCGCTATCACTGTTCCCACTTGATGTATTAGTCATGCAAAATCATCCCAGGCACTGACAGTAAACCAAGAAGACAATTCAAGAGTGTGGGGCATCTAAGGGTACAGTTCCTCCTGCCACCTCCTGGCACAGGGCAGTGGCTCCAGAGCAGCCTTACCTGGTCCACATTTTGACTTCTGGCAGGTGTGGTTGTTGGGCACCACAAAGTAGCCGACCGTGCATCGCGTGCAGACGTGCGCGCTGCGGCAAAGCTCACAGTTATCTGGGCAGGGGAGGCAGGCGTGCCCCTCAGCAGGGTAGAACCCCTGCGGGCAGCTCTCCCAACACAGCCCCTGGTAGAGGAAGCGCTCCTGACCGTGTTTATCTGAACAGATAGAGAGGCAACAAAAAGCGGGAAAATGTATGCAATTAACCATGAAGCTAATATATCATAAGATATTTATTAAAAAATAATACAACCAAGTCTTTTGGCTCCTATAGTACCAGAAGTATACCAATGGATTTAATGAGATGCACAATATCTGTATACTTGTAGCTGAAAAGTTTTCCTTGAGCTCCTTTCAGTGTCCATGGAGGACTCACAGTTTCTTGGGGGACTGAGATCTCATGAGAATAAACAAATACCAATAGACATTTTTTTTTAATGACAGTGCAGTCTTTTAGAATAATTTTGAATTCTGTTAGCAAAATCAACGCTTGTGTTAATTGTCTGAATTTTTGTACTGCTGCCAATTCCTATAATGGCAGCCCACTGAAACACCAGACAAGGCACACCTCTTCGACTCCTTTATGTGCATTCCTGAAAGTTCCTGAACTTCTGTCAGGACTGGACCCTACAAGGAAAGAATCAGCACTACCCCTAGCATGAAACTATGGGAATTTACTCCTAGGTGAAATGGAAAATTCTAATTAGTTACAAACAATTGCAATTAATAAAAATATTATAATCAGTTACAAATACATATGTCAAAAAAAGCAAGATTTATATGGGGGCACCTAGAGGTCTCCTACCCCTACCCTCCTGGAGTTTTTGTTTGTGCTGAGTGTGTTCAGAGGATCCATCTTCTCTGAATCAGGCCCATATGCTCCGTGTTCTGAAGAACAGCTGATCTGTGCTACCCAAAATAACTGGGGCCTACTGTTCACTCATCATGTGATCTGTCACATGAAGGTCCAGAACCACTGACCTTCAAAATGCAAGTCTGCTGCATTTGTGCATAAAGATAGCACTGACTGTGATGTTACCAGTACAGAAACTGAAAGTCAGTATAATGTTAGATTGAATCATATGGAATTGCTAACATTCAACTAGTTACCCATAAACTCGGCACCCTCAAATGGTTTAACCTAATGTTTCTTATTTAATTAAAGCCCTTGTTCAAATACAATTTAAAAAACACACTCTTGGATTATGGGCTCTGAAGCCACCTCTTTCCTGGTGGCGATTTTATGCCAGACATCTATTGGTTCCTGTGGGAACAAAAAAAAAAAACAAAAGAAGGCAGCTTCCATAGAGGTGGTGGAAAACAGTCTGTTCTTTCCATGTTTGAAAGGAGAGTCTTTGAGAAGATATAGTGTGCATTTGGTGTTTCTGCAGCTATAGACCAGTGTTGTGGAGCACAAAACCCTGATCTGGTGGAACCTGGAACGTCAGGAAACCACACAAGAGTTGACCTTACAAGTTATGTTCTTCTCAGGCACATTATGAAAGCCTAGCAAACCCCATTTCCATGACTCATTCAGAACAGATCCTATTTTTCAGAGGGCCAGACTTCTCAGGCCTAGGAAGGAAGATCTAGGTAGGTGATAAGCCTGCCCTCTCTCTACCCAGCAGTTGTACAATCGGTACACTTTGACATGACGTCAACTCAGGACCCAGAGGCTTGGAGGCAGCCTGATATAGAGTGATTTCTAGATACATGTTTGCTGAATGATTGACTGAGTGAGTGAGTGAATAATATTTGGCAATGTTCCTATTTCCCCAACATAGCTAACTGGATCTTAACATAAAAAAATTAACAATCATGGGTTTAGATATTAGAGAAAATGTTCTCCAGTCCCATTTTTTATTGTTTTGATGTGGCTTTACTAATTTAGATAACTTTGGGTTTTATAACTTGGATTTTTAGGACAGAGATTTGAAGGGTCTTGGTATTTAAAATACTCAGACTCTCCATGAGGGGGTTACTTAGATGCCTTGACCATGGCCAGCTTTACCCATAGGCTTGGCCAAGAATATGACAAGATTTGAACATTTTTCTAATAGCCTGAGCAGTATGACAGCTAAGTTTGGTTTGATAATTTGGATACCCTATTGATTTAAATCTCATGCATACATTTTTGGCTACTTGCCAAGAATTTAAATATTATAATTATATGTAGGAGAAGCTTGTTCTATTGTAATAATAGAAGGGCAGATATTTTTGATAGTTGCCAAACCTTTCATGTGACAGTATGAGACAAGGGTTAAAGTTCAGGAACTCCAAAAGAGGTTTAGATTGGCTTTCATTTATACTGAAGTAATTAACTCTTTCCAGTTAATTCCACTTAATTACTGGAATTAATTAATTCCAGTTAATCTCTTGGCAGCTGATTTTGTTAGAAGAGAAGGTGAGCCAGTATGAAGACATTGGATGCCTCCAGGAGGAAAGGAAGGTTGAGGGTGGAGGGCATGAGGGGAGAGGGTTGCTGGAAAGAAGGAAAGAAAGAAAGGCTGTGGGACTCTGACAATAAATTCTGCTTCCTGTAGTTATTGGCTCAATTTGGTAGAGAATACATGGGGAAGACAATTTAGAGTGAATCTTCACCAACAGCTGGAGACCTGCAAGTCTAAAAGCTTTCAGACTTACATTTTTACAAAATTTTACAATTAAGGGGCAACATTCCTACAAAATAATGGGAGAGACTTAGGCGTGTAGATGGGACTTCCAAGCCAGAGGATTTTCAGTGTTTTATGAAAGCCTGTAGATACAGAACTGCATCAGCTCAATCATCCACCTTCTCTAGCAGTATTAGGGGCTTTTGCTCTTAATAGCAGAGAACCCTGCTAATCAGAGCTTGCTCAACAGTACCCTCTGTAGGAAGCCTCCTCTGCTCACTGCAGCTGAAGAGTGTTTTCTTCTCTGACCTGTGGTCAGATTCCTACCATTCATTCGATTTTTAGTATTTTCTTGTTTTATAATACATGAGGACAAACCCCTCTTTTAGACTGTAAACTCTTTGAAGGCAAGTATCATTGATTGTAATTTCCATGACAACTTGTATAGTAACTTATAATGGGAGGGGCACGATAAAGTTTTGTTAACATAATGGATTAAGCAAACTTCCAAACAGAAAAAAAATCAAAGCATTTTATGTGGCGATTGTTTCAAGCAGTGATAGGATACTTAGAACATTGTAGACAGTTGTTTAGCATTTGAGCTACTCCTTAAATTTGTACTATGCATGAAGAGTCAGTGTGTTTTAAATCTGAAAGGGATTTTTGATGCCATCATGTCTGTGCTTCCCTGTTTTGCAAACAAGGGGAAACTTGAGGTGAAGTGAGGAGCTAGAACCCAGGTTTTCTCACTGCTGCTACTGATGTTCTTTCTACTGAACCATTCATTCATTCAGTTATATTGTGTGCTGTCCATATGCTAGACACTGTGCTAGTGCTCAAAATACAACAGAAAACAGGTAAACATTCACTGCTCTTACAGGGCATAGTCTTCTGGACAAGGTAGGTATCAAGTGTGAGGAGGTCTGTAAAGTGGGAAGTACAGGGCTCCAAGCATCCTCATATGAAGAGGGCTTAAACTAGGCAAGGAGAGCAGGGCAACCCTTACTGAGGAAATGGCATTGGAACTGAGACCTAAAGGATGACTAGAAAGAGGTCAGGCAGACAATGAGTGGGAAATATATTAAGTGAAGTCTTTGAACATCTGGAGAAACTCAAACGCCCATAGGAATAAGGAAGTATAAATAATAACAGTAGAAATATTAAGCTAATTTATTTTATTGAGTGCTTCCTATATACCCAGCCCTGCTCTTTTTTTTTTCAAAGATTTTATTTATTTTTAGAGAGAGGGGAAGGGAAGAAGAAGGAGAGGGAGAGAAACATCATGTGTGGTTGCCTCTCACGTGCCCCCTATTGGACCTGGCCCACAACGCAGGCATGCGCCCTGACTGGGAATTGAATTGTCAACCCTTTGGTTGGCAGGCCAGCACTCAATCCACTGAGCCACACCAGCCAGGGCCCAGCCCTGTTCTAAGTGCTTTATTAGTCTATCTCATTTAGTCTTATTTCATTTTTATAATAATCCTAAAAAGCAGCAACCATTAACACCATCTTATAAATGAGGAAAGAAACAGAATGAGCAGGCTGGAGATAAAATTTAACATATATATACTTTGTGTACATAAGAAATACAAAGAAGTAATTTTAATTTATACAAAGAAGTATGTTATTTCCCATTTTTCTACAAAAGCATGATACTCCCAATTTGTTCATTTTTCTCGATTTTATTACAAGCAGGAAGGAAGATAAATAATTCTCTTCCACCAGAAACGCCATGCAAGTATGGTGATGGGGACAACTGACAGCCTCGCAATCAGTGAGAAAGCCCAGAGTGGTGGGATTGTGGAGAGATTGTCTCCAGTCAACCATTTGGGGAACGTGGACCCAGTGTTGCCAGATGCTTCAAGTTTTTAAGAGAAACAAAAAACCCAGGTTTTTCTTTGAAATTTCCCAATTTTAAAATTTGGCCTATATTTTAAATGTTTGATGTAGGTCAAATAAAATATGAATCTGTCCCACATGAGGACAAAGTAGGGGAGAGGCCTATGAGGAGAGTCTGGACAGGAATCAGTGGTCAAACAGCAGAGGATATTTGAGGTTGTAGGTTATAATCCAATGACAGCATAAATTTGAGTTGTTTAAACCAGGAAGAGAAGGTCATATTTGTGTTTTGAAGTGGTTACTTTGTTCTCACAGGGCGCTGACAACTTCTAAATGGCATAGCCCTTGGCTGAGGAGACCTAGACCTGACCTCTATTACAATATTTCTCTGAAAGGCTGAATGTGTCTGCCCTAATTTCCTAAGCTTTTCACTTTTACCTCAACAGACCCTAGCTTTACTGTCTGTCTCATGTCTGACATCATGTTCAGATGCCCTTTCTTTCTTCTCCTCTGGAAAGACATCGCTTAGCTTCTCTCTCATCTCCTCAGGGGCAGCGAGTCTACAATAATGTAAACTTGTGTCCTGACAACAAGCAGAAACTTGGTTGATCACATTCTCTAATGAACAGCTGTCTAATCTCAACCCCTTTTCCCCAGAGATGAAGCTTCTGAGTCAAACCAAATAATGTCCCAAACCAAATGATGAAGCAGCAAAGAACAAGTGACCAACCAGACGCCCTCACCTACTCCACAGGAGGTGCAGTTGAAGGGCCCATTTCCTTGGCATTCTTGGCAGGTGTAGTGGCATAGATGGCATTGGTTCTTAAATTCATGTGTGCCTGAGGGACAGTCCAAAACGCAGCGGCCATCATCAAAAATCCTAGAGGAAAAGCAGACTTTTAGAGTTTGTAAGGGTGACTTTCTGGAATAGTCTTAAGTTTTAGAACATGTAGTGTTTGCGTTTTGCTGCACAAGCTTGGTTTCATTGTTCTAGAAACAACAAGGATGCCTGGGACTGACCATTTTAGACCATGTAGACTATTAGTCACATACATATCCTTGGCCCAAGGTTTGGAGCCAACAGCAGGCATGCCAGAAACGGGCTGGGGATGCAATCCTGATTCTGGTTGCAAATATGCTAATCAGTGCCCGCCAGGATTAAACCCATATTGTAGGCCCCAGCCAAACCCAGCCCATAGTCAGATAATGGTCTTTGAACTTTCAAGACACTAGTTGGAAATTCGAATCCAAGGGCCTTGGAGAAAATATTCTTCCTTTAGGTATGAACATGCTCACACTTTGCAAGGGAAATGTCAACTCTCAGGTCTCTCAGAGGGTAGAATGAAGAACTATCGTACAGCTTAGGTGCTCCTTATAAGCTTGGCCTATGCATATGGCAAGTAATCAATGAAGTCTGATTTTGTGTGTCATTTTTGCAAGCACTTCCTGAAGTATAGGATACCACATCTTTATTTTATGACCATGTTTTCAGTCACTTGTGAGGACAGCACAGATAGCAGGTAAGCTTCTAAAACCCTTGGTTTCATACACATACAATATGTATCATAGTGTTATGGCTAATATTTTCATTTTTCACTTCTTTTTTTCCCTTGTAAAGTAATCCTAAGAGCAAATGCGATTAAGTAAACTATATCCAAGAATTTTGCCCAGAAAAACTGACAATTGTCCAAGTGCAAGAGTCAGGTGATATGAATAGATGAGGTGAGCTGAGGGGCTCAACTCCCAGAGCTTCTACTTCAGTAGCTCCATGGTGGGGAGAGCTGTGAATGTGTATTTTGACAAGTTTCTGGGTGATGCTTATGCTGCTGGCCTAGAGAACACACTTGGAGAACTGCAGCTCCACCTCCTGCTCACTCATAGTCTGAATGGATTTCTATGTAGTTTGCTAAATGATCCCTATGTAATACAGGTGGTACCAAATTGATGTCTTGTAGAGTGTCTTTAGAGTAGTAATTGTTGTATCAGTTGGATGATTAACTGAGTACATAGTACATACATGCTACTGAGGTCATAATGCTGGCATCTAAGCCTCTCTCCCACCTCTCTCCACTCACACTGTACATCACATGGAAGGCCAGGCGTAGGCCTCATGCCACTTGTTCCTGGGGTGGTCCTGGCACTGTTTGCATAGGTAGAGCCAGCCCTAAAATAGGGATAGATATTTCAATTCCAGGCTTGGAGGAAATTGGAGTGGAGTAAGGCTGGCCGAAGAGCATGTTACTGGCAGCCTTCCATCTTGTTCCTGCTCTCTGAAGTTCTGTGTCACTTGCATCTATTTGGACACAGGACAGGATTAAAGCCAACAGCATAAAACAGAAAACTACCTCATTCTCGTCTTCCCCAGGTTCTGGTCACCATATCCAGCACCACTGGGGCGAGCAATCCTTTCGGCCCACTGCAGGGCGTGGAGACTAGCCCTAAACAGACAGGCGCACACATCTGGTTGTCCTTGTCAAAACAGATCCCCTGCCCCATGGCATATGCTGAGAGGACTGTGTTCCCAGCCCAGGCTTTTAGCTGATGGCACTAATGCCTTCCTGGAATATCCTGGGCCCACCCTGCCTCTGCTTTCTGAGCTAGAGGAATTTTCAAGGGATAATTTGGATGCGGCTAGTTAAAAAATCAAAACGAAAAAGCCTCCCTTTAAGAAAAACTGAGCAAGCGCTTTCTGAGGTTTTTAAACAAGGAAGCTATTCGACGCTCTGCCGGAAAAAAAAAAAGAATGGAACATGTTTATTTGTGAAGGTTCATTTTCTTGCTAAAAGAAAAGGGGATGGAGAGCACATCATCGTTTTGTCCTTTATACAAAGATATGACAGATTAGTTGAGGGAGAAATTATTTCTCTTGAGAGGGGCAACTGATACCCTCAACGAAGGGAACCATTTAAAATCCAGAAACTGGGGTGGGGTGAAACATGGTGTCATATTTCTTATGCTGGTACTGGGCTGCCTTTCTTACTTGAGTGCTTAATTTTAAGAAAATACTAAGCACTTAATTGTGCTTTAGATCACGTCTACCTCTACCTTAAGGAAAGCACAGGGGACACACCCAGTTTTTATAAGAACAAAAATTCTTTGTAAAGATTGAAAGGCAGAGAAAACAGCCATGCTTAAGTGCAGGCACTGAATTACATCCTCCCCCGTACCACCCCCCACCCCCGCAACACACCCTCAGGAAAGCTTACTAATGAACTTAAAGAAAAGTACCACTTCCAGTGGCACAGATTTGAACTCATACCAACAAATCTTTCCTAGTGGAGGAGAATAGATACCTTGCCCTGGGCTCCATGGGGCTCAAGCCACCTCTGAGATCAGCAGTCGTCCCATCTGGGCATTTCTCAGACACTCAGGCAAGCTAATCTCTACAGGGAAGCACTTCTCTCCCAAGCCACACATGCTCTTGGCCTTCCTCTAAGCAGTGAACAGTTCTTGGTCCATCAGGGCTCATGGAAAGGAAGAAGGCGGCAAAACCAAATGCCAAAAAGCTGGGCGGAGGTGATGTTCTCAACATTGGCACTGAATTCTCCAGAAGCCCCAGGGGTGTGTGTGTGTGTGTGTGTGTGTGTGTGTGTGTGTGTGTGAGAGAGAGAGAGAGAGAGAGAGAGAGAGAGAGAAAGAGAGAGAGAGAGAGAGATGTGAACTGGAGTGGAAGAGATGCCAGGGCAGAGTTAGCTGGTCCTCTGAGCTGGTTGTTAGTTTGGCCTAACTAAAGCCATCATGAGGGCACTTAAAGTAACTTATTGGTGCTTTAATGTTTTAACAGAATGAAATCTTGCAAAAAGCCTTTTTTTCTGAATTGTTTGAAACACATCGAATAAAACTTTTAAGAGGCGGTAAGAACAGAGGTAACTTTTAAATGCTTTTAATTAGTTGATCGACTCTAACTACGTCAGGGCTACATTGGGAGATTAGCTTGGGCAAAGAGGACCGTGGCCTTCCAGAGCTCTATGGGTTATATAGCAGAGACAAACTTCCTCCAAGTTTTCAATGATCTTGAAGAATCTAAATCCAAGAGTTGATGAAAATGTAAAGGGAAAACTAGAAGTTGAAGAGAGGGCTCTTAAACTTTTGATTTCCAGTAAAACAACTTCAGAGTTAAATTATTTTTAAGTTTTATTATGGAAAAATTTAAACACATATAAAATAAGCATCACAGTATCCCCATTTATTCTTCACTCAGCTGCAACAGTTATCGTCAACACATGGCCGTTCTTCATTTCAGTTCCCACTGATTCACTTCCTTCTCATACGGTTTTGAAACTACCTCTAAGTTAGACTCCTTTAGGGATGAATTTTATTCTGCCACAACTGGAGATATCCAAAAGCTTAAGGATAAGAAGAAACTCGAGGAGACCAACTATCCTGGTTATTCTGTTTCCCCTTCCTGCTGCCCGGATCCGTTTACAAGCGTTGTGTTGGAGATGTGCTCACTAGGCACTGCATCGCCAAGCTCACTTCTCACTTGCAAGTGGTGTTTCTCATTGGCCTCTGCTTAGTTTAAGACCAGGAGAAACACCAGCAGGATCTGTAGGTGGGAGGAGAGACTGGAGTATTTATTCCAGCCAGCGCTGCAACTCTGCTTCCTCCTTCCATGGTTCTGGAGTGGCTGTGTTCTCTTCAGCTCCAGTTTCTACAAGGAGGGACCCCTCAAAACCCAGAACTTATTTATGAAAAAATTGTGTATTTATTCTTACATGTTTAAATTTCAGTCACTTTCTAAGTACTCTCCATTTGATGCAATACACCTGTTGAGACATTTTTTCCACTGCTCAAAACAGGTTTGAACTCATCGATTTTGATCCCTTTTAGTGCTCCTGCCTTTTTTTGTTTTGCATCTTCCACATGCAAAACATTTTCCTCTGAAGACTTTTTTCATCCAGGAAAACAAAAAAAAAGTTGCTCCACAGGAGACTGGGTAAATAGGGAGGGTGCGGCATAGAGGTCATGTCATTTTTGGTCAAAAAATGCTGAACACTCAGCAAGGCATGGGCAGGTGTGCTTGAAAATAACCCATCATGAGATGGGCAAATGGGTTCAAAGAGTCTTCAAAAAAATTTCACTGAAGCCAACTGAACACAGCCTCTCACCACGACGCCAGCTGGCACGCCGATACAGATGGGTTCTTAGAACACCCACCTAGTGGGGAAAGCCTATAATACAAAGGCCTGCCCTCCAGAAGATAATTCCAGTTTCTTTTGGGTTCACCCTTGTATAGGCAGCTCCTCTTTCATGGCTGCATCTTTCGCTTCAGGCCTAGGGGGTTAAAGCTGCCCCACCATTGCTTGTCTCTGAGTGGGTTACCCTCCCTTGACTTTGACTTTCTGAGTTACGTGAAAGGATTCATGGGCCTTGAACCTAACTCAGAGCTGGACAGAAACCAAGTGCTCAAGAATGTCTTGAGACCTGGCTGGGCAGCTAAGTTGTTTAGAGCATCGCCCCCATATGCCACGGTAATAGGTTGGATTCCAGTCAGTGCACATGGAAGAATTAACTGATGAATGCACAAATAGATAGAACAACAAACTGATGTCTCTCCCCACCCCCCACTCTCTCTTAAAAATCAATTGATCAATAAAAAGACTGTTTTGAATGGACCTGATTCCACTTAAGGAAATATTTTGGCAAATACTTTGGTGTACTTTTCAAGAACAAATAAGTTGACATCATCTTTTAAAGTGGTTTCTTTCTTCTCATCTTCTCAACCCCATTCCAGGAAAATGCAGGTAAACAAAGAAGTCAGGTAGTTCATTGCCATGATATAATGCCCGTTCTTGGACATATTTGCAAGTAACTGACATCAAGGAAGAGAAATGGGGAAAAGAAACGAGTAAGCTCAGAGAGATGAAAAGAAAATTTTTCCTGTGGAACAAGATTTCCTTAGGAGTACATCCTGGTTCAAGATTCATATACATGCATTTCCTTCCTCAAAAGCTAAATCATGGGCTGCTGAAACAAGTTAAACTACCCAAATGGCCCAGGAGGTGTACCTCTGATCTTGTACCAGTGGGCTTAGATATTTTTTTAATGGCCATTCATAGTAGTAGAAGTTTTTCTCACTTCTGGTGAGCCCGAGGCAGTCATGACTTCTGGAGTGTATATAGGATGAAGGTTGGTGCTTTATTAAACAACTGCTAAATGTCCCCTTTGTTCAAAGATGTCCAAACATGCAATGGAATTTGATTATTGATATGGTAAGGAGTTAGAGGAGAAATAGGACCTTTTCCGAAAACTGTCTATATAATCGTATTCCCTGAAGCCGCTTTAAAGCAAATTCAATATTTAGAGGCATAGATACCTCAAAGAGACACTTGGAAAATGTTATCATCGTTACCATTGAGGATACTTAAGACTGTTCTTGTGCCTCCCTCGCTCCTTCCCTCCCTCCCGCCCTCCCTTCTCATTTTGAGTGAACTATCTGGAGAACCAAGCCCCTGATATTTATTACGTACTTCATAAAGTTCAATAAAACACACATATATTGAACTATTACTATATGTTGATCACTGTGGGGGAATAAAGAGACAAATACACGACAGTTCCTGGTCAGGATATTAAAGTTCTGAGGGAGAATTAGAGGCAAGGACCACGTAGGGCAGAGGGAAAGCCTGTCCCAGGGATTCACCTGCCACTGCAGCAGGCTTGGTCTGGGGAGAGACTCCGCTTCCTACACAATTAAGCAGAACAGTGGCAGGCTCTGCACACAGCCAGTGAGTCAACAAATGTTAAGTGCTAGAACCAGAGGAGTGTTGACTAAAAACACAACAAGCTCACAACTCTCTTCATTAGAAATTTTCAATGAATTAGAAATTAGATAGATGCTCACCCCATTCAGATACTTGCTATTTCCTCATTCATTCACCTGTCAACAACCTGCCGTTTTCCTAGCACTGTGATAGATAATAGAGATACAAAGATGAGTGTTTCAAGGAGCATATAATCTAAAGAAGGGATAGATCTGTAAATGAATGTCTTAAAATGTCACAGTTGCTCTTATGGAAGTTTATACAGAGCACAGGGGAACATAAAAGAGGAAGAAGTTAATTCTACTGGGAAGAGGTCAAAAAATGCCTTCATAGAACAGTTTATCCATGACCTGATTCTAGAAATCTGAGTCGATATTTGCTCAGCAGATGGGGATGATAGTTGAGGGGTGCAGGAAGGGATGAGGCACTAGGCATCAAAGCTACCACCACCTTCATCGATGAGAAAGCCCCTCTAGTGTCCAGGGTACTGACTCCTGCAGTGGGTACTGGGCTTCCTGGGGAGAAGATGCTCTGGACCACGGAGGTTACTGTGTCACGGGAAAGGGTTTGATTCTTTCTCCTGCAGTTCCGCAGTGTGCCTGCAAGCAGGTAAGCACCTTCTCTCTCCATCCTACAACCGTGGGCTAGCAGCTGTAGGAGATCCTGAGAGACCACTCACCTTGTGACAGGGCAGCCAGTGCAGTGTTCCTGGGTCGGCCCCCGGCACTTGGCACATGAAGCATCACACATCTGGCAGCGGCCATATTCGTCAGCGTATTCTCCTGGGGAACAAAACCTAGTTGTTTACCTCATTTCTACGTGGCAGTGGGCTGTCAGTCTGAGAGCAACCAGACCTGTCTGTGGTTGCCTAAAAGCAAAGGAGACAATACAGAGAGAAGGACCCTGAATGGCTTCAGTTGCCAATCCTACATCCTGACCTTAGAATAACAACTGTTCCTCTCCCAAGGGCCCTGGAAGTTGGAACCTCAGAAAATCATGAGGCAATGACATTCTTTTGGATCTAGTCAAAATGTGTTACAGAATTTATAAGTAGAGAGAAGCCAAGGGGGCTTCCTACAGGACCCCTTCGCTGAACTCCTTCTGACTTTCCCACTTCAGGCTGAAGGCTTATGGCCCACAGAGACCCCAGTCATAGCCTTGGTTCAAGTTAAGCAACAAGCTGGACCCACCTAGATCTTGTCCTATCATTCTGGGGAGGATTGTGATTACTTGTTAAGAAGGGGAGTTGAAGCTTGGCTGACATTTGACAGATGTCAGCGGCACCTCACCCTGAAAGAGTAACAGTGAAGAGATAGCCAGAGAATTCTTCATTTAATTGGAAAGCTTATCTTTCCCAAAGAAAAATATACACGAGGCAAGTCCACAGAAGCAAGTCCAGCCCCACCAACTTCTTGTAGGTATTTAAGAAATTACTTTCACGGCAAGGGTGGTAGAGAGAGGCAAACCTCATCAAAAGTGATAATCCAGTGATGGGTCTTTACTCATTGAATTCAACCCTCTACTCACACTATACTCATCCTTTCCTCCCATCATCTTAAAAGAAGTTGACTTAAAGAAACTTAAGTTCTTTCAGTCTGATCCAGAGGCACTTTGTGTGGTTTCAAAACTGATCATGCTGAGGAACTATAGATTCAGATTTCACCTGAATCACAGGCTTCACTTGCTTCCCACCCTAGCTTTCACAGCCCTCCACGCATGCCTGAACATTGTCAATCTAAGATCCAGCCAGAGTGGTCAGGTGGCAGGACTCGCTTATGGCTTAATCAAGTAGCGTTACTAAAACTCTAAGATTCTCTGCCTGGTTTATTGTAGCTGTGTGGGAAAAAACCCTGGGAATACAGACTTGACTGGTGAGGAATGGATGGAAGTCCTCTCCTTTACCTTTCCCCATAACTTTCTGAATGAGTACAGTTGGGTAAGGTAAACCTTGTATATACAAATTGTTCACTTACTATCACTAAACCACAAAAAATGAGTGAGCCTTAGAGGGGGTAACCAGTGGGGACAACACATGGAAATGTGCAAGTTGTTCACTGCACTAGGCGCCTGCCCAAACTGTCACGTGGAGTTGGAAACCCAGCCCGTGTTGATGTCACCATGCCCTGGCAACTGGTGGTCATTGCCTCTTTCTCTGTAGGGGGTGCTTTTTACTAATTCACACAAAGATGTTAGATTGGACCATTTGCATTCTTGGTAATCAGTAGTTCCAAGGCAGAAAAAAAGCTGGGACTTCTGTTTAGTAGGAGTGTTGATTTCAAGTTGGGAATCTCACTCAGTATAGGCATCATATTTATGCAGCCTTCTCTATTTTTTCAGGCTCCCATATTCCACCTCTTAATTATTACCCTTGTGTAATCTTTTTGCTTGTGTCAGGAGGCACATCCAATTGAGCAGGGTGGTTATCAGTTCAGGCACCAGCAAGATGAAGAGCAGAGGATCTGGGGCAGACCGGGTAGGAACAAGTAGAGCTTGCCTACATCACTTATGCTAATAATTTGTGTAGGATGATAGCTACATATCTTTCAAAATATATGTCCTGAGTGGAACAGGTAGGGAGGAGTGTCACAGAGGCTTCTAAACACAAAGAAAATGTTTTCAAGAGACATGCTGGATCATAGCTTGTTCATTCATTCATTCATTCTATGGATATTTGGATATTTTTTGAACACTTATATGTCAGGTACTAGGTGAGATTTAGAGATATACAAATTAAAAAAGCCCTGCCCTTGGGTTCTCAAAGACTTTTGAGAATGATTTGTAAGGGGATATTTGCAATCCAAATGCTAGCCAGGAGCCTTCAACTTCCTTGGACAGTCTAGATTAAAGTCTAAAACAGAAGAGCAAGGGCATACACTGAACTCTGCTAGACGTATAGGCAAAGACCATTATTTTGCCTTGTCATTGGTGCCCATAAAAACTGACACCGTGGTTTGGTTCTCCTAACTCTTGCCACCCATCCACCCTAATCTCCATGGTGTATTAGATTTAATGCTAGGGTGGGTTTTTAAACTAAATACACTTTGTTCTGCTAAATTGAATGCTACTTAGATGGTTCTGAGTGTTATGCCATATCTACACCCAAACTCTCCCTTGTAGTTACAGATGACTCATGGTTAAATCAGACAAAGATTATTCAGATGTTACTGTGGAAATTTTCAATTCTTGTGTCTTTTGTTTGCTTTTTTCTTGGCTTCCATAAGCCAGTAGGTGGCACTGATATCCTGGCCTCGTACTTCCTTGATCTGCTAAACTATATCATTGCCTCTGTTGACACTCAAAAAGAAACCATCACCTTAGATGTAATCATCACGTATAATTTCCCCATCTCTGAGATTTTAAATACCCCCTTCAAACACAATCTTCTTATGCTCCACTATGGTGAGTTCACCCCAGTTGATCATCCTTTCATTCATCTTTCTAGTTCCCTCTTGCATTTCTCACTGGAGCTAAGTTGAATCACTCTAAGACCCAAGTTCCACCCATTCCTTCTCAGAAGGTGACCACACTACCTAATTTACTGATAAGATACTGAATTTCCCCAGCATCATTTTTCTCAATGTCAATATTTCTTTCTATCTTCTCTTTCACTGTCCTCTTGTCTCCCATCTCAGAGGAAGGTACATCTCTCTTCCTGGCAGTTGTCAACTCTCCATCTAATGCTCTTAATCTTCCCTCAGGCTATGTCTCCACCAGTATCTCTATCTTCAATCTTTTCTCCACATCTCTCATTATCCTCTGATCTACAAATGTTCTCCACAACCTAAAACCTCGCTAAACACTTTTCTTCTTTGATAAGTGACCCTTCAAACATGTTTTTCCCTCCTACCATTTGAAAACAAAATGGAGAAAACCTCATAACCTTGAAGATTATGTAAGCAAGTCAGCGCAGGACGCTTAACCGCACCTCTTTCCAGTCTGCACGCCTCTTAACTTTAGAGAAAACTCTGGCTTTAGAACAGATGAGAATAGAGGGACCTGCCTTAATTTTCATAGTTATGTGGATGTCCAATTAGTTATATAAACAACTGCCCCAGCCCTTGCAGGCACAAGTTTCCTACTACACATTTGAAACCAAAAAAGCCAGATTCCAAGGACATAGTGAAGTTGCTTTTTTTTTGGTTGTTGGAGCTGCAAATTCTTCTCATCTGTCTTTGTTGCACAATGAAGCTGAATGTTTATGACAGGAGTGATATACAAAATTTTTAGAGAGAAATCATTTTTAGCACAGACGTCTGGGGCCAATATTTTGTTCTCCATCTCATCCTACAAGCTCTTCCTTCTGGTGTCTTCATCCATTATTATTATGTCCGAATTGTCTTTCTTCTGTGATCAAAAATTTTTCATTCCCTTTTTAGTTCCTTTTTCATCTCATCCTATAATAGTTTAAAGGACATTGAAGAAGTGTCCCATGGGGAACAATGATGTCTCAAAAGTTGAAGACACAGTTTAAAAATTAATACTTGTAAATTTAAAAATTTACAAGTAAGTGGTGTGCTCTGGTTGTTCCACCTCTTGAGAACATTACAGCATGTGTTTGTGTTAACAAGTCTAAGTTACACATAAACTTTGTGCAATCATCCAGAATAGGTAAACATTTATTATAGCATGCACAGCTACTAAAAATGGTTGAGAATAATATAATAAAGGGCTTACCTAGCCAGAAGAGCTTCATTTCTCTTCAGAAATGCTATGCCTTCTTTTGTGCTTCAAAATATTTCTCTATTGATTAGAGCCAAATTTGTTGTAGAGTTTAAGCACATAAATATATAAACTGAATACATTAATAAACACACAGGCAGATAGATTATCATGTGAGTCTGGAACAATTGTTTTAGCAAGAGTGATTGGTAAGAGAAGATGGGAGGAACATTTGAAAAGAAATCAGCCATTTGGTTTTGGAGCTGGTTGTTTCAGTGAGCAACATTGGGATAGACCTCGTAGACCCCTTCTTACGCACTGTCGCTCAGATGCCAGGAACCAGAGTGGGACTTTCCTGAATGAGTACGAGCACAAATGCTAATCGAATGATACAATATTTTTGCAAGGATACCAATACCTAGTTTCCAACCTAAGATACCACTGTGTAAAGATAGTTTGCATGAAAAGAAATCTATATATTTATTACTTTCTACCAGCTACAATAAATACTCAGTTACACTTTCAACTAGTTATATACGAATGAAATAATTTAGTTTTTAAAGCATCATTGAACGTGAAGTTTTATAGGAAGGGCCAAACTATGAGGCCATCTACTTCATATGGCCAATATCTTCACTTAAAAGTCTACACCAGTGACTTTCAATCATTTTAATCTCATGGCACACATAAACTGATTACTAAAATTCTGCAGCATACAAAAATATTTTTTTGCTGATCTGACAAAAATAAGTATAATTTTGATTTATTCACAGTGGACAGCTATTGTTGTGTTGGCTGTTGTCATTTTTTTATTTGACAGTCTAAGGGAAAAGAGGTCAGAGCCCCGTAGTCACGTATTGCATGCACACTGGTTGAAAATCACTGGTCTATACAATTATCCAGCCTTAAAAGGAAGGACATCCTGACACAGGCTACAACATGGATGAATCTGGAAGACATTATGCAAAGTGAAAGAAACTGGTTACAGAAAGACAATACTGCATTATTACATTTATATAAGGCACCTAGAATAGTCAAATTCAGTGGGACAGAATGTAAAATGGTGGTTGCCAGGCTGGAGGGGAGGGGAAAATGGGGAGATATTGCTTAATGCATATAAAAT